GGGGGGGGGGGGGGGGGGGGGGGGGGGGGGGGGGGGGGGGGGGGGGGGGGGGGGGGGGGGGGGGGGGGGGGGGGGGGGGGGTACTCTTGTTTTGCATGCCTTAGCGGTTAGACCATTGACCACGCATCCTCGAGAGGACGGAGCATTGTTCCCACAGGACCGATCACGGATGGCTGTTCCTTTCTACTTTGCCAAAGGTGGCTCAAAAATGTCTTCCCTAGTCNGATACTCAAAAAGTATTTAGTTATTTCTTGTTACTGTTTTAATCGTTGATTCAAAAGAATTCAGCACGCAGCCGTTTTTCAGAGTGTAGGGGGGCACTTTTCCCAGACACCTGCCACTGGAGGCAACACTACAAGGTAGGATGAGAGCAACGACAACAAACGATGCCAAAAAAAAAACGAAAAAAAAAAGTAAGCAAGAGCAGGATAGACGAGCATCTGCCCACTGCACCCGTCGCACGCAATGACCACCAGAACAAAAAAAAAGGGTGTTCTTTCTACTTGAGCACCTGTCGCACGCCTTGACGACGTCCCACGAGGACTTGAGCGCAAACAGCTCCACCTCTGCTGGGTCCAGTGCCGTCAAAGAAGAAGATTTACCCCCCTCCGAAGCCCCTTCGTCAAAGTCCCCTCCCCACCCCCCCCCCCCCCCCTCCTGCAGGTCTGCCGCCTGGCCAACCAGCTCGTGGTAGTAGGCCGGCATGAAACGCCCTCCCATTCTATACAGAACCCCCGAGACACGAGGAGGCATTGGGGTGGGGGGTAGGCCATACGAAGCAAGGGTCAACGATTGACAATAAACAAAATCTTAAGAGAAGAAAACTACAAGAAAACTTGCCAATGGGCTGGCTTTACGCTTGGTAGAAGTGGCATCGAAGTTGAAAGGGGAAGCGAAACACCCTACAACAGACCACATCACCGACCTGGCCACCTCCGCCGGCTTCTTGAGCTCGAGATTCAGGGCGCACTGCCTGGCGAAGATGTAGAGCTGGGTCTCCAGAACAAGGCTGTGAAGTCCGCCCCCGTTCAGCCGCTCCCGAAACCGCATCTGCCCGTAGTCTAGAACAGAGGCTGCTCCGTGGGCGATTTTCGGATGGGGGCGCGCACAAGGGGGCGCAGGGGGGGGGGGGGGGGGGGGGGGGGGGGGGGGGGGGGGGCTAAAGGTNGGGGGGGGGGAGGGGTCGTACTCATGTTTTGCATGCCTTGCTTGATTCACCGTTTACCACGCGTCCTCACCACAGAAATATGACAACATCAACAAATCAACAACACAAGAGCCCATAGGCCATCTACCTGGGAGTCGTTGCGGTTGGCTGGGGATGGCCAGGCCGAACAAGAGGTGACTCGCTCCGGTTCCCTCTTTCGTAACGGAGGGGGATGACGGATCTCTGTCTCTGGGGGAGCGGAAAGGAGAATTGCCCTGGCTGGGGACGGGAGAGCGTAGGCCGGCCTCCGAGCCTTCCCCCATCGTAAGGATCAGTGCTGCCAGCTCCTGGGAGAAGGGAACAGTGAAACAGACAAGACAGACAGACAGACAGACAGATAGACAGATAGACAAGAGAGAAGCGAGAGACGGGGGGGAAAGAGGGAGAGGGAGAGAGAGAGAGAGAGAGAGAGAGAGAGAGAGAG